GAGGAGGGTTATTAGTAAAAAAATATTAATGTTTATATTCTATACATTTTTAAATTTTATTTACAGATTTTTTTTGATAATTAATTATATACGGTTAAAATATACGAACTGTTTTTATTAAATAATTACAAGACGATAATTATTATTATTATAATATATATAATACAAAGTATTTCAGATAAAGTTGGATCGTTTGGATCATGATGCACAGGGCATTCTTGATTTCTATCATTAGTAGCAGCATTCATTTCATTTCCAAAAATTCCAAATCTTGCACCGCCAAAGCCGTTGCTGGTAAAACAAGTGGGCATGCATTATTATTAATGTTCACATAACTCCGGATATATCTGTACTTTTTACAATATTTTCGATTGGACATACGTGCTTTTGTTTATATCGATATAATCCTAACAATCAACACTACACTATTATTTTATAAACGAACACAAAAGGCACCTCTTCTACATTAGCTGTTGTCATCATAGATAAAGTTGGCATCATACGTGGAACGTAGAAGTGAAATTGAAAGTGGGGTGATGGCATGCGCAACAATGCATCATTCGATTTAGGATGGCCAATCAGAACCCCTGATTATGACTGACTAGACGCCACAGAGAACCTCTGTGTAGTCTGTGCTAGACGCGATAGACTTATGGTTTTAGGATAAATTGTGTACTAATACTGTATTGTATGTTTTATTACGTGTATATTTATTATTAGTATTAATTAAATATTCTTGAAATAGTTTATATTATATTTATCTTAAAAGTATTTCGTTAATATTTCTTAAAATCACTTGTATTATATAACATTTTATTAAGTGTATTCCTTAAATGTTTTTGAAATAATTTGAATTATATGTATTTTATTAAGTATTTCCTAAATATTTTTGAAATATTTTGTATTATATATTTATTTGTAAGTATTTCTTTGTATTATATATATTATAATAATAATAATTATCAAAAAAAATCTGTAAATAAAATTTAAAAATGTATAGAATATAAACATTAATATTTTTTTTACTAATAACCCTTCTCCTATCAAGTTTCTATATTCCTTACGAGAAGTAATAAATATGAGAAAACCTACAGTAAATAATTTTTCGAAAATCTGAAATGTTTTAAATTTTACTGATTAACTCTGAAAAAAGTCTTACTTTTACTTTAGCTAAATTTTCATGACAGATCTGATTAATTCTGAAAAAGTATCCTAGAAGAGTCCAAAAACTTGTAAAAATGCAGTCTTTAAAATGATTAGTAAGTTTTACATAGATCTTTTCATACTTTTTTCAGAATGTTTCAGAATTTTTTTAGACTTACTCATTCTTCTGGAATTGTTTTTCAGAACACTGCAAGACTAAATTAGATTATTGGCAGAAACTATTTCCACCAGGGCAGCAAACGAAAAACATAAAAACTTACAGCGTTTTGTTCTTGCAGGCTAACAAAAACAATGTGTGTTCTTTTTCAACATTATCAACTAAAAAGAAGACATAAAAACATCAAAATTCTTCATAGCTGGCATTGCCAGTTTTATTGAAAACGCCGTAGCTACTTGCTATTTGATTGACAGCAATAAATAGTTGTCAGTGTTTCGCGTATTGTTTGAGTTTTGCTAACTGCAATTCCTAAACATGGTTTATTTAACAGAAATGCATAAAATAACAATTATACAGATGGTTGGTTACGGAGATAGAATGCGATCACCGGCCGAAGTTGCTCGCCTATTTTAAGAAACATTTCCTGATTTGCCGCCTATATCCCAAGGTACAATTAGCAAAATTGAAAAGTAGTTTCGCGAAAATGGACATGTACGGCAAATAAAAAAAAACTTCCAATGCAATGAGTAACGATACGAAATTAGATATGCTGCTTGAGTTTGAAGAAAACTCACATAGTTCAAGTCGACAAGCAGCTTCAGCATTGAATGTGTAACATTCTTCAATTATTCGCCTATTAAAAGAAAATAAAATGTATCCCTATAAATTGACCCCAACTCAGGAGCATAGTGAGGACGATTTTGATAGAAGAACGTATTTTTCTGAACAAATGACGCAAAGGTTAGATAATAATGTTATCCAACTAAAAATGTTTTGTTTTCTGATGAGTCCACTTTTACTCTTCACGGCCATGTTAATCGTCAAAACTGTCGCTATTGGGCTAATGAAAATCCTCACTGGATGAGAGAATTACATCGCAAAATCCTGAAAAGGTTAATGTTTGGGCGGGGATAATTGAAGACTATGTCATTGGTCCATTTTTCATTGATGGCAATTTGTATGGAGATAATTATTTAGCTCTACTCCAAAATAATGTCGTACCAAATTTGGTAAACTCATACCCTGCACAAACAAGCCCACAAGTTCCAGCCGATGTGATATGGTTCCAGCAGGAGGAAGCACCACCACATTACCGAATCAATGTCCGGCAATACCTCGATGTAACATTTCCAAATCGGTGGATAGGGAGGTGAGGATCGCTAGAATGGCCAGCACGTTCTCCTAATCTTACACCCTTAGATTTCTTTTTATGGAGATATGTAAAAAGTATGGTATAAAAAAGTAAGCCAAGCGATATAGCTGACTTGAGCAGAAAAATAACGGTTGCGGTTAGGTCGGTCACGCCTCAGATGTTGGAAAATATTTGAAGATATTTTTATTTAAGATTAGGATGCGGCCAAGATGTTCAAGGAACTCATTTTGAACATTTCCTACGTTGAAATTAAGTTTTTTTTTTAGTTTGCTGTAACGAATTTCGTCGAGCAGATAAATTTATTTTTTTCACTTAATTTTTGCAATAAATATTAAAACCATAGCATTTGTGAATAGAAAATGAAAAGACATTTCAAATGAGGTGTCACAAGCCCCTACTTCCCATTTAAAAATTTAGGAGTTACAACTGCCACTCGAAGGGGGTTAAATTTAGGGATGAAATTTTTACGTTGCAGGATGTCATTTTCTAATCGAAAATCGACGTGGCTCGGGATTTTTTTATAAATATGCACAATAATTGAGATACTGAATTTATTCCATTTGGCTGTTCCACACTGTATGTCCAATCAATCACAATCAGTCTAATGTTGTGTATCCAATACATGATACCCGATCCCTTGTGTCACTTTTGGTTGAAAACAATAGGGTACGTACCTAAAGACAACAGTGCCTGACATCTGTCAGTTGAATTTTACGAATATTGTTTACAAAAGATTTTAAGTTAATAAGTGTTGCAGCGAAAATATTTTATGCAGCACACCCGAAAAGTGTTTTTTCAGGACTCGCTGGGGCTCGTCTTGGAAACTACCAACTCCCCCAGTAAAGAATCACTTTTCGGTCTTGTTACCTAAATATTTCGGACGATAAACAGTTACAAACGAAATAATGATCAATATATGTATAAACAAATGAAACAAATTGTCATGATATTTTTATTAAATTGTATCAGTGACGTGGTCGATTACTACTAGATTTTTCAATTAAAATAAATATAATAAATAAATTTTATTATTTTCTTCTTACAATCGAATAAAAAATAGTGTATGACACACGGATGAAAATGTTTTTCGTACTCATACAGTTGTTGGACTTAGCTTCGCCTTGTCGGGCAATTTTCCGTAATCGTACGAAAAACTGCATTTTTCGTCCTTGTGTCATAAATAACTAATAAAGTTATACCTACATAGGTTCAGATATAAATTGCATCAATCATTTACGGTGAACACAATTAAGTTCTAAATCCAGGTTATGATGAAAATGGACTTTTTGAGACTCGAAAATGGAAATTTATCCATATCGACATGTCGTTTTTGTGTCTGTAAGTCTGTGTGTCGCTGGTTTTTGTTGCGACACGATTTTCTTGAACACATCTCAACGTGAAAATTTTACATACAATTTGACCCACTAAGATTGGAAATCCCGTGAAAAAAAAGTTTGTTATACGAGTTGGACCGGATTTTTATTGAAATATCGAGAATCAAGAACTCCTTAGTGCAAAATTTTGGGATTTAGTCTTAATTCTTATCTCAAAGCCTGTTATGAATCCTTTTCAATGTCAAAAATGGCTAAATGTGATTAGCGAACTTTTATTTAAAATCTGACTCTACGCCACTGAATTGGGGAACTCGTCAAACGGGTTTGTACCAAATTCCGTGAAACCATGTTTTTATTGAAATATTTATGACAAAATTAATATTGACATTAGCATTATCATATTATACTTTTTTCGTTTGCCTTACCCCCTTCCCCAGACACTTAACTCCAACTACTGTCTTCTACATAATTTCTCGCCACAAAAATAAATAGAATTCAGGAAATTTGTTATGGAAAACAAAAAATCAAACGTCAAATCTTATAAATACACAGAAACTTCTATAAAATTATTGTGATAAAAAAATATAGTATCTATTCTATTAGTAACCAATCACTTTCGTTTATTAAAAAACCCCAATATACGAAAAGTATCTTTCAGGGGTATTTGATTACTGCAGATTACATAAAATTAGATGTTTGTGGTGGATAAGAGGATACGCGGCACACGTCGGCGTTACGCTGTTTAGTACCAGTTTAGATGCTCATCTTTACTACAAATAATCATCCCTTTATATGCGTACACTCGATTATTATCAGCTTTGATATTAATGTCAGATTTAAGTACTTGAGAAAATTAAATATTTGCCGATGTATTTAGTTTACTAACAGAAAACTTTAATCTGTATTTGAAGTAAACAGAAGTGCAAGCTCTTTAAAAATCTAATACATCCACTTTTAACAAACTTTAAGGTAAGTAATTTAAATTCAAAATATAAACAATGGTGTGACTTTCAGAGAAACATGTTATTATCGATTAACGTTAGATTTATTTAACAAACATTAAACGCTACACGTAATATAATACCCTGTATTCCTAAAGGAACCTCGAAGTATCTTATGCAGCACATTTAACAACAGACTCGCGACCAATATCCGAATATGGTAGAATTAACTGCTGCTTTAGAAAAAATCCCAGCCTCTCGACCGGGATCGTGAACCCAGGACTTCAGGGTGAGAGGCAAATGTCTTTACCGCTCGGCCACGAAGCCACATGTTAGCATAATTAAAAAACTCAGCAATTTGTTGAGTAATACAGGGTATTCCAAACTCGACGCCTCAGCATTTTTATTTGGAGGGAGCTATTGTGTAAAAAACAAGACACTAACTAAAACTACAATTACCATTAAAATGGTAACTATACCCTAACGAGGCATAGGGGTCCAGCACCATATAAAGCTCTGTCAAAATTGCTTTTTTGCTAACATTTTCCTTGAAAATGGAAATTATTTTTAAAATAATGTAGATAGGTTGGAGTTTTATTTATCCAAATATTTTATTATTTGAAGCTCTTATTATACTATTATTGTAGACAACCAAAATTACCCTACTTTACTTTAGTTGGTAGCGAAAAACGCATGTCTCAAAAATATGATGAAATAAAGTTATAACTAACTTTTATTAATATATTTACACATCAATGGTAAGGGTATTTCTTCTACTTTTTAGAAATTCTTTGTTTCATTTCTAAGATACAATACTTTTTTTTATACAGTTTTTTTCATATCCATTTTTATTTTCTTATACGTAATATAAGGAAGTATAGTAATCGTAATTTTTTTCGATCTCGAGATATATACGTTTTGAACCCTCCTGAGTCCATTCTGACTATTTTCCGAATGATGTCTGTCGGTGCGTGTGTGTGGATGCGTGTGTATGTGCGTATCCGCGATAACTCAAACAATACTAATGGGAGATTTCCCAAATTTGGCAGTTAAGATTTTCAACATTTTAGGTGACATATTAAATTTGGTGAATGTGGTACCACCAAAAGAGACATAATGAATGAAAGAAAAAAGATCCAATTTTGTCAAATCTGTCGGCATATCTGTAGTATGGCGATAGCAGCCACAGTTTTTGAGATAAAGCTTTTAAATTTGGTACACGTGTTCTAAAGGCCAAAGACAATGATAATTTCGATGATGAGCAAAATTGGCCAGCTGAAAGGAGGCCCACGGGACCCAAACTTCTTCGTATTTACCTTTACAAAAAAAAATCTTGACGGAAGATTATAAATCATGTCTACAATATCAAGCCAATAAAATATATTTCCAAGTACTTAAATAAAGCTGATGTAAACTGAAATATTTTACAGATTTGGCCTCATAAAATTGGGTTAGGATAAATTTAACAGTTTGACATTTGAAAGGTCTAATTTAGTTACAAAAATGTTAGTCAATAAGATGAAATTATTAAAATATGACATGATTATTGACAGTATCGAATGACGCTGATAATTAGTCTGGAGTCGTGAGTCGTGAGTCGTGACGCGGAGTCGTGAGTCGTGAGTCGTGAGTCGTGAGTCTGGAGTCGTGAGTCTGGAGTCGTGAGTCTGGAGTCGTGAGTCTGGAGTCTGGAGTCGTGAGTCTGGAGTCTGGAGTCGTGTGTCGTGAGTCGTGTGTCTGGAGTCTTGGAGTCGTGAATCTGGAGTCTGGAGTCGAGAGTCGAGAGTCGAGAGTCGAGAGTCGAGTCGAGAGTCGTGAGTCGTGAGTCGAGAGTCGAGAGTCGAGAGTCGAGAGTCGAGAGTCGAGAGTCGAGAGTCGAGAGTCGAGAGTCGAGAGTCGAGAGTCGAGAGTCGAGAGTCGAGAGTCGAGAGTCGAGAGTCGAGAGTCGAGAGTCGAGAGTCGAGAGTCGAGAGTCGAGAGTCGAGAGTCGAGAGTCGAGAGTCGAGAGTCGAGAGTCGAGAGTCGAGAGTCGAGAGTCGAGAGTCGAGAGTCGAGAGTCGAGAGTCGAGAGTCGAGAGTCGAGAGTCGAGAGTCGAGAGTCGAGAGTCGAGAGTCGAGAGTCGAGAGTCGAGAGTCGAGAGTCGAGAGTCGAGAGTCGAGAGTCGAGAGTCGAGAGTCGAGAGTCGAGAGTCGAGAGTCGAGAGTCGAGAGTCGAGAGTCGAGAGTCGAGAGTCGAGAGTCGAGAGTCGAGAGTCGAGAGTCGAGAGTCGAGAGTCGAGAGTCGAGAGTCGAGAGTCGAGAGTCGAGAGTCGAGAGTCGAGAGTCGAGAGTCGAGAGTCGAGAGTCGAGAGTCGAGAGTCGAGAGTCGAGAGTCGAGAGTCGTGAGTCGTGAGTCGTGAGTCGTGAGTCGTGAGTCGTGAGTAGTGAGTAGTGAGTAGTGAGTAGTGAGTAGTGAGTCGGGAGTCGTGAGTCGTGAGTCGTGAGTCGTGAGTCGTGAGTCGCGAGTCGCGAGTCGCGAGTCGCGAGTCGCGAGTCGCGAGTCGGGAGCCGGGAGCCGGGAGCCGGGAGCCGGGAGCCGGGAGCCGGGAGCCGGGAGCCGGGAGCCGGGAGCCGGGAGCCGGGAGCCGGGAGCCGGGAGCCGGGAGCCGGGAGCCGGGAGCCGGGAGCCTGGAGCCTGGAGCCTGGAGCCTGGAGCCTGGAGCCTGGAGTCTGGAGTCTGGAGTCTGGAGTCTGGAGTCTGGAGTCTGGAGTCTGGAGTCTGGAGTCTGGAGTCTGGAGTCTGGAGTCTGGAGTCTGGAGTCTGGAGTCTGGAGTCTGGAGTCTGGAGTCTGGAGTCTGGAGGCCGGGAGTCGGGGTCGGGGTCGGGAGTCGGGAGTCGGGAGTCTTGTACCTGTACCTGTACGTGTACGTGTACGTGTACTTGTACTTGTACTTGTACTTGTACTTGTACTTGCACTTGCCCTTGTACATGTACTTGTACTTGTACTTGTACGTGTACGTGTACGTGTACGTGTACGTGTACGTGTACTTGTATTTGTACTTGTACTTGTACTTGTAGCAACCAATGAAGATATTTTTCATTCTTTACTGTGTACATCCCATCCATTTAAAATGAGCATTGGAAGAAACAAACCTTCACAAAAAACAGAACTGGATGAGGAAGTTTTAGCTTTACTAGACGATTAAAATTATTATTCCTCAATTTCTACAATTATGCAGTTTAAATCTTTTATAATCTTATTCCACAATAAACGTTAATTTTAATTTCTTCCCTATTTTTTAGGAAACATTTTAACTTTTTAGTGTATTAGTAATTAGGAATTGTACTAAAATAATTATGGATTACGTGTTTTTTATTATTTTACAATTTATAATTGGTGGGAAGAGCCGACCCCATTTTTTTTCATCGGTTTTTATTTACTTTATTAACTCTGACCTCCTGTGCCGGTTTTTTGCTTCATTACAGTTTTTAATATCCTAAATTATGCATGAAAAATGTATGCAACCATCAATTTTAATCATTGACTAGCTATGAATAAACAAATTACTGTATTTTGGAATTCTGGTGTCATTTTCGAATTCAGCAACCCAAAAAAACCCTTATGCACGAAGTGTCATAAAAAATTGCACAAAAGAAAAATGTTCGGCTCAAAGAGTTAACAATTTTTAATAAACAAATTAATAACATTTTAATGGCTTTTAATTGGTCACATTAAACTTTATCCCTTCCCTGTTGTACATGTCAAATTGTATAAGAATTGGTCTAAAAATAACAAAGTTACAATATTTTTGGCAAAGAAATGTCCGTTTGGCAACACTGACTGCAACGTACGGCTCCGCAATGACTATATTTTATTCAATCAAAGCATTTTTGTATATTTCAATTATGTATTTTCAAAATATGGTTCCTTAAATCATAAACTAGAAGCAAATTTGTACAATTTAGTACTTATACAATTATTCACTTTTCAGCTGGTGGTTATGAAATTATTGAAAAAAATAAAAATAAAACAAGGTGAAATGAAAATTTATACCGGGAGGCGATTTAGTTATCGGTTTGCGTCTTCATTAATAATAAAGTTAAAAATCTGAAAATTATACATAATAAATATTTTTCGTCTAAACAATTTAAAAATATTTTCAACTATACAGGGTGATCCATTTTTACGGCACACACCACAACATTCTTATTTCAAATGGAATGGTATATTTTTTATTATAAATTTAAATTCCTCATACAATTTCCTTGTCAGTGGTTTGGGGATAGGCCTACTTTCTATAATTTATTGACAGATATTTGTTTTTTCGAAAATTACGATAAATGCATCGATTTTGAAAAATAAGAATAACTCATTAACGCAAAACATTTTATTTCTGAAATTTTCACTCAAGAATGCTTTATATTTCTTTACAGGGCGTGCGATTTTCGGTGTCATTTTATCACTTCAAACTAAATTTTGAAAATTTTTTTAAGAGGCACACCCGATATATTTTTATTTTTTATGAAGCAGAATTCAATTTCCTTTTCATTGATATAGGTAATCGTATACCTAAATCAAACCGATTTCAAGATATTTACAAATACAAATTTAGATATCTTCGAAATATTAAGATACGATACAATTCAAAGTCTGATAAAACTGATACTTTCCAGTTGATTCTAAAATTACATTTAAAGAAATACATGTTGATTGTTTGTTAGACACTGCTGAAGAACTTTCACCCTTGTTTAATTAATCATTCAAGGCGGGGCTTCAGCCCCTATTTCAGAACCTTAGCAACCAATGGAAATATAGTCCACAAATAAGGGTGTAATGCCGGGTTCTATTGATTGGTCTAGGTCAACGTCAACGAAATCAAGTTATATTTTATTTGAAATAAATTAAATATGCTCGTATCCCACCGTATTAACAATAAAGACTGTAAAAAAGTCTCTTGCGTGCTAAGGGTATAGTGTATATTTCGTAGCAACTTGAAAATTGATACTCTCAATATTGAAACGACGCTTTTGAAATCCAATACTTAGAAAGGCATTTCACGAAAAATAATCCCTTTATTTTTTATTTAATAGGAAGTACACATTATAGGGTGGGAACATTCTACATGCAACCTATACGATATTGTTTTATTTTGTAATTAAAACTCACTATGGCATGGCAAGTAGGTGTATATAGATATATCTGTGCATTATTTTCTTGAACTATTCAAATCAAATTGTAAGTCCAGTGTTAAGAAATATTATTTAGTATTAATTAAAATCTTGCCATATTATCAGTATCTCCTTTTTACTTTCTTGTACCTAATATAAGGAAGTAATCGTGATTTTT